GGGGGGGGGCTGGGGGCACGGAGCGGTGCGGGGGCGCTGTGGGCAGAGGTCTGGTCGGTGGGGGGGTCTTGTCCGGCGGACCTGAGGGAACAGGAGGACAGCACTGGCTCATTTAAAGCTGGGGGTCTGGACAACGTGCCCCGAGAGACCGCCGTCCGCAGAGGCTCATGCAAGGGGCCTTTACATCGTGCATTTCTGAGAAGCAAACCGTCTGACCCAACACACCATGGCCGCGTCGCTCAGAAACCAGGTGCACAGGCTCCCTCAGGGCCCAGCAGCCAGGCTTTCCTTCGTTAACCTTTAACGACAGTTTTCAGAGCTTCGCCACAGGTCTCTGTGGAAAAGCTGCTTTCAAATCCCTTTTGGAAGAAGGTGGTGTATAAATAATAAATAAATGAAAATGAATACTGGAACCTCACATGTAAGCGCCACCACAGTTTATCCTAGGTTTCCAGGGACAATGATTCTATGCAAATATTTCTAAAAGATAAACATTAACAAATTAGTGCTATGTCTCCAATTATAGTTTATAATCTTTTCCCGACTCTTACCATTCTCTTCTCAGGAAATGCTTGGACCAATTGCTAGAACAGTTTCATGTGAATACAAAATCGGAAGCTCCCTCTGATTAAGGCACCACCAGAAACATCAATGCAGAAGGGTTTCTAAAGAGAGGGCTCTGAATCAAGCCAAAGTTTACACATGTAATTTGGTGCAGATGCAAATCATCATTCCTCGAGGGATTTGTGTTTCTACGAAGAAGCAATGACAGAGAGATTAAAAATGGTGCCCTAGCTGGTTTGGCTTAGTGGATAGAGAGAGCATTGGCCTACAGACTGAAGGGTCCCAGATTTGATTCTGGTCAAGGGCACATGCCTGGGTTGCAGGCCCGATCCCCAGTAGAGGGTGTGCAGGAGACAGCTGATCAATGATTCTCTCTCATAATTGATGTTCCTTTTTATTATTATTATTATTATGATGATGATGAAAAACATATAACATACAATATTCCATCTTTTTCCCCCCCATTGTAGTTCACATTCAATATTATCCTGTATTAGTTTCAGGTGCACAACACTGTGGTCAGACAATCATATACTCTACAGAGCAGTGCCCTGATATTGCAAGTACCCCCTGGCCCATACTTAGCTATTACAATGTTATTTTTTTCCTCCATTCACCTCTCTCCTGCCACTCCCACCCCCAGCAAATGCCCTCACCCCCTAGTGACTCTAGTGACTATGCCCATGGGTAATGCTCATACACCTGCATACAAGTCCTTTGGTTGATCTCTTACCCTCACCCCACGCCTTCCCTCATAGTTTGGACAGTCTATTCCATGCTTCTCTGTCTCTGGCTCTATTTTTGTTCATCGGTTTATGTTGTTCATTATATTCCACAAATGAGTGAGATCATGTGGTATTTATCTTTCTCTAATTGGCTTATTTCACTTAGCATAATGCTCTCCAGTTCCATCCATGCTGTTGCAAATGGTAAGAATTCCTTCTTTTTTACAGCAGCATAGTATTCCATCGTGTAGATGTACCACAGTTTTCTAATCCATTCATCTACTGATGGGCACTTAGGCTGTTTCCAAATCTTAGCTATGGTGAATTGTGCTGCTATGAACATATGGGTGCACATATCCTTTCTGATTGGTGTTTCTGGTTTCTTGGGATATATTCCTAGAAGTGGGATCACAGGGTCAAATGGGAGTTCCATGTTTTGTTTTTTGAGGAAACTCCATACTGTCTTCCATAGTGGCTGCACCAGTCTGCATTCCCACCAGCAGTGCACAAGTGTTCCTTTTTCTCCACATCCTCTCCAGCACTTGTCATTTGTTGATTTGTTGATGATAGCCAGTCTGACAGGTGTGAGATGGTACCTCATTGTTGTTTTGATTTGCATCTCTCGGATGATTAGTGACTTTGAGCATGTTTTCATATGTCTCTTGGCTTTCTGAATGTCCTCTTTTGAAAGGTGTCTATTTAGATCCTTTGCCCATTTTTTGATTGGATTGTTTATCTTCCTTTTGTTAAGTTGTATGAGTTCCCTATAAATTTTGGAGATTAGGCCCTTATCAGATATAATGTTGGCAAATATGTTCTCCCATGTAGTGGGCTTTCTTGTTGTTTTGTTGATGGTTTCTTTTGCTGTGCAGAAACTTTTTATTTTGATGTAGTCCCATTTGTTCATTTTCTCTTTAGTTTCAACTGCCCTAGGAGCTGTATCAGTGAAGAAATTGCTTTGGCATATGTCTGAGATTTTGTTGCCTTTGAATTCTTCTAGAATTTTTATGGTTTCCTGTCGTACATTTAAGTCCTTTATCCATTTTGAGTTTATTTTTGTGTATGGTGTAAGTTGGTGGTCTAGTTTCATTTTCTTGCATATATCTGTCCAATTTTCCCAACACCACTTATTGAAGAGACTATCTTGGCTCCATTGAATGTTCTTTCCTCCTTTGTCAAATATTAATTGAGCATATTGGTTCGGGCCGATTTCTGGGTTCTCTATTCTATTCCATTGATCTATATGCCTGTTCTTGTGCCAGTACCAGGCAGTTTTGAGAACAGTGGCTTTGTAATACATCTTGATATCTGGTATTGAGATCCCAGAGTACAGGTCTTTTACCTCCTTAGTTAAGTTTATTCCTAGTATCTTAATTTTTTTGTTGCAATGGTAAATGGGATTGCTTTTTAAATTTCTCTTTCTGTAAGTTCATTATTGATGTATAAAAAAGCAATAGATTTCTGGGTGTTAATTTTGTATCCTACTACATTACTGAATTCATTTATTAAGTCTAATAGTTTTTTGATGGAGTCTTTAGGGTTTTCTATGTACAATATCATGTCATCTGCGAATAATGACAGTTTTACTTCTTCTTTTCCAATTTGGATGCCCTTTATTTCTTCTTCTTGTCTAATTGCTATGGCTAGCACTTCCAGTATTATGTCAAACAGGAGTGGTGAGAGTGGGGATCCTTGTTTTGTTCCTGTTCTTAGAGGAAATGGTTTTAGTTTTTGTCTATTTAGTATGATGTTGGCTGTAGGTTTGCCATATAAGGCTTTTATTATGTTAAGGTATAACCCCTCTATTTCCACTTTGCTGAGGGTTTTTATCAAGAAAGGATGTTGGATTTTGTCAAATGCTTTTTCTGCATCAATTGATATGACTATGTGATGTTTATTTCTCAATTTGTTTATGTGATGTATCATGTTTATTGATTTGCAAATATTGTACCGTCTTTGCATCCCCAGAATAAGTCCCACTTGGTCATAGTGTATGATCTTCCTAATGTATTGCTGGATCTGATTTGCTAGGACTTTGTTAGGACATCTATGTTCATCAGGGATATTGACCTGTAATTCTCTTTCTTTGTGGTGTCTTTATCTGGTTTTGGGATTATGGTAATGCTGGCTTCATAGAAAGAGCTGGGAAGTGTTCCTTCCTCTTGAATTTTTTGGAATAGTCTGAGAATGATAGATTTTCGTTCTTCTTTGAATTTGGTAAAACTCCCCTGTGAAGCCATCTGGTCCAGGGCTTTTGTTTGCTGGAAGTTGTTTTTTTTTTGTTGTTTTTGTTTGTTTTTTGTTCTTTTATTACTGCTTCAATTTCCTCCATAGTTATTGGCCTATTCAGATTTTTTTATTCTTCCTGATTGAGTTTTGGAAGGTCATATATTTCTAGGAATATGTACATTTCTTCTAGGTTATCCAGTTTGTTGAAATAGAGTTTTTCATAGTATTTTTTAAACAATCCTTTGTATTTCTGAGGGGTCTGTTGTTATTTCGCCTCTTTCATTTCTGATTTTGTTTATTTGGGTCCTCTCTCTTTACTTCTTGGTGACCCTGGCTAGAGATTCATCAATCTTGTTTATCCTTTCAAAGAACCAGCTCTTGGTTTCATTGATCTTTTATATTGTTTATTTTGGACTCTATGTCATCTATTTCCACTCTGATCTTTATTATTTCCTTCCTTCTGCTTACTCTGGGCTTTTCTTGCTGCTCTCTTTCTAATTCTTTAAGTTGTAGGGTTAGATAATTTATTACAAATTTTTCTTGTTTTTTAGATAGTCCTGTTTTTTAGATAGTTCCCTCTCAGGACTGCTTTCACTGTGTCCCATAGATTTTGGATTTTTGTGTTTTTATTGTCATTCGTTTCCAGGATGTTTTTAATTTCTTCTTTGATCTCTTTGGTAACCCAATCATTGTTTAATAGTATTATATTTAGCTTCCAAGTGTTTGAATTTTTTATTGTTTTTATTGTAGTTTTCTTCTAATATTATGTCATTGTGGTCTGAGAAGATGCTTGATATGATTTCAATCTTCTTGAATTGGGAGAGACTTTGCCTGTGTCTCAATATGTGGTCTATTTTTGAGAATGTCCCATGTGCACTTGAGAAGAATGTATATTCTGTAGCTTGTGTGTGAAATGTTCTGAAGATGTCAATTAAGTCCATCTGATCTAGTGAGTCATTTAGGATTCCTGTTTCTTTGATGATTTTTTGTCTAGTGAATTTATCCAGTGATGTCAATGGGGTACTAAAGTCCCCTACTATGCTTGTATTGCTGTTGATCTCTCCCTTGATATCCTCCAGAAGTTTTTTATGTATTTGGGTGCTCCTACATTTGGAGCATAGTTTATCAGAAGAGTTATATTCTCTTGTTGTATCAATCCTTTTAGTATTATGAAGTGGCCTTCCTTTTCTCTTGTTATGGCCTTCACTTTGAGGCCTACTTTGTGAGATATAAGTATTGCTACCCCAGCTTTTTTTTCATTTCCATTTGCCTGAAATATATTTTTCTATCCCTTCACTTTCAGTCTGTGTGAGTCCCTTGTTCTGATTTGGGTCTCTTGTAGACAGTATATGTATAGGTCATGTTTTCTTATCCATTCAGCCACTTGATGTCTTTTGATTGGAGAATTTAATCCATTTATGTTTATGGTTATTATTGATAGGTTCTTGTTTGTAGCCATCTTCATTCTTTGTGCCTGTATTCCTTCTTGCCTTTTTAATTTCCTCTTTTTACAATAGCCCCTTTGGCATTTATTGCATTGCTGGCTTGGTAGTGATAAACTCC